ACAAGATTATTATTTTGACATATGCTTCATGGCGAAAGGTTTATATGGGTATGACGAGTACCGTTAATTACCAAAATGCATTTTCAGAAGTTTTTAAGAATCCTGATGATAGTATCAGTCGTGAGGTATTGGAAGCGTTAAAAAAAACTGGAGGAGTAAATGTCGAGAGACATGTTCAAAGCGCTGCTACCGAGTTCAAGAGAGATAATGATAGACGTGTTCGTAAAGATCGGGACATTGCCAATGTAATTAATTATAAAGATATTATTTCCGAATATTGTGATTGGTTGGGTTCAAATTTGATGGATGATATTGGGATGAAGGTTTATTCAATTTGTCAAAAGTTGGGAATTGAAAGTGATCCCAATTCTTTGAAAAATAATTTAAATAAAATTAAACAAGCGGTGGATGACATCGCAAATATTAGATGATATATAAATTTATTTTTTTTGAAAGCTATAAAATGATGAGTTTATCGTGTATTTGCGTAAAATATGTCTGAAATTTCTGTTCTCTTTCTCAAATTATTGAAATCATCTCTTGAATATACATTTTGGATCTATTTTACTAAATTATTTTTGATACTTTTATTACGTACAATCATATTCTTGGGATCGATCGAGAGGTTCGCCTGATTACTGGAAAAATGTATCAATGCATCGATGTCACTCTCGTGAGATAAAGGATATCCACGAATTGTATCCTATATGTCGATTTCATCAGAAATAGGTTCATGGACCTTTAAAATCAACTTTCGATACGAAGTAAACAATAATAAAACCTCATTGTACATCTTTGAATTACACAAACAATCACCCATCCGGTGCATATGCACTGAATGGATATCAATCTTTATTCAAGATCTGCCAATAAACTTGATATTCTATTAATCTTGAAATTTGTGGTACTGAGAGATGAATCATATACCTTTACCTTCCATTCATAATATTCAGGTGATTTTAACCCTTTAAGTGTTTTCACGATATCGAAATGGACAAAGTATTGTATCGTAACAAAATGCAAATATATCTTGAGGAATTCAGCTATATCAGGAATAGCACCACCTTCGTTTTCCTTAATCTTCTTTATCGTAAGCTCTTCGGTGTGATTCAAAAATTGAAAGGACTTGCTGAATTGAATAATATGTGACACGTTAGAATTGGATTGATCATCAGATTCTTCATAATCTGAATCACTTTCGTATTTACATTTCTTATTTGTTTTATCTTTGTGAGCATCCATGTTTGAAACACAAGTGATAACTTTTTCATCCTTTTATAGAAAATTCAGGTAAGAATGAACACATGATACTTGTGTATCAAACTTTCTTTAATCTTATTCAAAACAAACTTACATGATTAACCAATCCATTACCAGTAATTATCAAATCAATATGATAACCCTTTACAGATAACCATTTACAGTTATCAAATTAACTTGATAACCACTTATGGTTATCCCCATAAAACTATTTAAATGTTGCATGACCTTACAACATTACATTACTTAACCCAAAAATATACAACATGATCTGGTTTAAACATTCGCTGATATCTATCGTAAATCATCCTTGAATTTCATTGGTTCATGTTAACCAATTCCCCCCTCAACAATCTGTTATATTGCTTTCTATCATACAAACGACAACTATAATATTCTACGTCACAATTACACCTAAAAAAATTTTCATATGAATCTGAAATCCAATGAAAATTTTTACCATTGTGAACTCGTTGGTGAACAATACTCTTTTCGAAATCAATTTGGCTTGCTGGAACCTTGTGCTTTTTCACATATCACTCGTCAAGTAAATATTGATTCACAATATTTCGTCTTGAATTAAAATTATGATAAGATACAATATTTCTCATGATCACAATATAAACATTCGATTCAATTGGTTCGAATG